TTGATTCTGTCTAGCTTCATAACTTACTTTAAGCCATTATTTGGGTTTACAAACAAATCACAACAGATAGGATGCATGAAACACGCTAAGTCAAAATGAAATAAATCACATACTGTAAATATTAATTATGATGATGATCTATATTATCAGTATGCCTAGGGCAGTGATGGCGAACCTTTTAGAGACCGAGTGCCCAAACTGCAACCCAAAATCCACTTATGTATCGTCGGGTGCAGGATGGGCGTGGCCAATTGGGTGGGCATGGCTGCGGTGGTAATGGCAGACTGGGTGGGACTAAAAAGTTCGATCAATCAATTCCAACTTTGCGAGATCTTTTTGTTTCCTGTGAGAAGTTGAAATTGATTGATTGATTGAACCTTTTTTTTTTTTTGCACACGGCGGCGGAGGCCTAAAGGGAAAAGGTTTTATAAAACCCAGGTGAAGGCCTAGGGCTGGGGCGACAGTGGGCATGCCCACAGAGGGCTTTGCATGCCACCTGTGGCACGCGTGCCATAGGTTCTCCACCACGGGCCTAGGGGGTCCCATATCGGTAGAAATCTGTACAAGTATTAGATGACAGTAAACAGATTTGAAAATAACTAAGTTTCTATGGGAGGAACAAATACCTAGAATTTTTCTTTTAACTCTAAATATGTTAGAGATGATTTTAATTATTCTGATTTTAAAAAATGCCTTTGGTATATTTGCTAACTTTAACAGTCTATGAATAAGACACTGATCTTTTACTGCTGTGGGCTCAACTTGAGAGTTGTCATTTGAAATCCCAAAGGCCCTGGCAAGTTCTTGGTTTTAACTATAGTAAACATTTGGTTATTTTTCCTGCATTAAAGATAGACTTATTTGGGCTTTATTTGGAAGCAATTTAAACATTGATTTTAGTTCTAATGAGAAATTGATGCCTTGGAATAATTCTAATTAAAAATGGCTGATAATTTTTTATCATAGGTTGAAATGACATTATCATTCTTAATTGATCAATAGGTAAGAATACTTCACAACTTTTGAAATAGTGGAAGAATACAACTTGTTTAAAATGGCCCCATGGCAACAGAACCAGTTAAAATATTTGGTATTTCTGTTGCCAGGACCTGATGTGTTGCCCTGATGTGCCAGCACAACCTTCAAAATTGCAGAAAATTTGAATGCATTAGAAAAGATTTCCATCAATTATAAACCAGCAATCTATTATTACTAAAAATATTTTTAAGCAGGAATGAATGTAGACACCTACATAAAAATTTAGAACAGAGATTTGGGATATCCTCTAGTGAAAAATCTATAGCTTGAGGCTTTATTTCAGAAATGTAGCGTACTGTATGATTCCTATGATTTTAAAAATTCAACTGGTTCAGTACAAATTCTTTTTCAGATTTACAGATTTCTCAAAGATTGTTCAGAAAAAAGATGACTTATCATTTTTCTATACTGGGTATATGTATAATAAACAAAGGAATGTTAGCGCAGCTGCTTTGAGCATTTCCAATGGGATTTGCTTATTAGATAGACAATATAACTATGGTGAATCAGGTTCAGGGGGAAGAAACTGAGGGTAAAGATGCTAATATGCTGTTACATGATATTTAAAAAATCTGGAACTTGTTATTTATGAAGAATGTAAGAAATAGCATGCCTGGATTGCTGTGAAGGTGATTGTGTATTTTTAGGAGGAAATCTGTGTACCAAACTCTTAAAGTTGGATTAATTAAGTTTGTCAGCTCCCAGCCTTTGAATTATTGAAATCGTTTTGTTTTGTTGGAGAGACAAGACTGGAAAGTTGGTTTGCTTGATTTCATTTAGTTGGTTCCAATTCCAATCTGAATTGCATATTTTTGTGTGTATGTTTGTGTGTGTGTATGTGTGTACATATACATACACACAACATACATACTTGAATAAATATTTAAAAACCAAGGCAACAACATTTTGAAATTTGAAATTTGCATTTTTATTTCCAGATTTTCTCTTTCATTCTTGTTTATTTCTTTTCTTGATGGGGGGGCTCTTTTTATCATTTTTTCTTTTTTATTAGTCATCTTTTAAATACACTTTTATAAATTTAGATTTTTACAATTTTATGGACTGTAAATAAGCCTATTACTAATTTCCTCCAATTATGTTTTTAAAGAAAATACAATTGTATGGTGTTTAAAATTCACTGTGTGCATATTTGTGTGTATGTATAAATATGGACATAGATAGATATTGATATAATGAATTCTTTTGTTTTCTAGTCCTCTAATCTAATGGTTGCTCATATTTTTGAAGTCTGGGTATGCATAAACCTATGCACTGCTGCTATAGATATGTTTCCTTACTTTTTTCACCATTGAATTTAATTTTGTTAGATAGCGCCCAGTGTTCAAGTCTGTCCAGATCCTCCTGTATCTTAAGCCTGTCTTCTGGAGTGTTGGCTATTCCTGCCAGCTTGGTGTCATCTGCAAATTTGATGATTTCCCCATCTATCCCCTCGTCCAAATCGTTGATGAAGATGTTGAAGAGCACTGGGCCCAGAACAGAGCCCTGGGGCATCCCACTACACACTTCCCTCCATGTAGATGCGGTTCCATTAAGGACTACACGCTGAGTACAACCAGTCAGCCAGCTACGGATCCATCTGGTGGTGATGCTGTCTAATCCACATTTTTCTATCTTATCAAGTAGTAGGTTGTGATCTATTTAAGGGCAAACCCTTAAATATTGGAACACTAGTATCATGTCACCCCTAGTCCTTCTTTTCATTAAACTAGGCATACCCAATTCTGTGCTTTATATGTTTTAGCCTCCAGACCGCTAATCATCTTTGTTGCTCTTCTCTGCACTCTTTCTAGTCTCAATATCTATCTTGCAACTTTGGTTAGGTTACTTGAGAAATCCAATCATGCCTAAAGCCAAAATAGACTGCTTACTTCCAGTTGAAGCTGATTTGAAACAATTAAGGCCAGGCTTGTGAATCACTGAAGCAGAGATGAAGGCTTTGCAGTTGTTGGAGCCTTTCATATTTAATTCATTTCTTAAGGCACACTAGCAGTTCCTCACAGCCCATTTGGGGGCAATTATTGTGTTATCCTACTGCAAGCACAATTTCTTGCAGATAAGGAGTATGCTGGGAAAAACATATCACCTTTTCTAAGGACTAGAAAACAAAATGTGGATTTTTGAAATAGAGAAAATAGCCCATCGCTATGTAAAATGGGTCTCCACTGAATGGAATAATTATATCTATTACTTTTTCCTGATCAGACTTACTTTTTCTAAGAGTAGTAATCCATTGTTAGAAGTAAGAATAGTATACATTATAGAAAAGCAGATTGGCAGTAATGTTAGTGCTTCTTCTTTTCTCTTTAAGTAGGCACTGTGTTACAAAGAAGCTAAATAAGCATCTAGAAACAGCTAAATGGTAAACTGTCCTTCAAGTTGGTGACCTCATAGATACATCCCTTTAGTACAGAGGTATCCAACTTTTGCAACTTTAAGACTTGTGGACTCCAACTTCCAGAATTCCTCAGCCAGTCATGTTGGCTGGGAAATTCTGGGAGTTGAGATTTACAAGTCTTAATGTTGCCAGCTTTGACATTCATTCTCTAGCAGTACCAAAAGTATTCTCAGGCTTCTGCTTAGCCAACATTCAAGCATTAAGAAGACTCAGAAGAAGACTAATTTCTAAGCCAAGAGAAGTTTGGCTAAATCTATCACATATAAGATGAGAAAGATTTTAGAACTAGAGCAAGGGTCTTCAAACTTGGCCCATTTATGACTTGTGGACTTCCAGCTTGCCTGGCTGAGGAATTCTGGGAGTTGAAGTCCACAAGTCATAAAAGGGCCAAGTTTGAAGACCCCTGAACTAGAGACTTATGTCAGTTTATCTGCAGATAGGACTTGTTAAAGCTAATTTCACATTAGGTCTGTCATGTGCCCTTTGCAATAGAAAATGGGCCACAATATATCATATAGAGACTTACTATGCTTGCCCAGGCTTCCAATTGCCTCAGGCAGCCTTGTGGGACACCAACTTATTTTGTGCGATAAGGCCTTTGTGGGATAAAGCCAGTTCAGAAAATTCAACAAATTATATCCTCAACTGCCCAATTATCAAGTAGAAACAAAACATAAACTGTATTGCATTATCATTTTTACTGGATTGATTTGTAGGGTTGTGGAAGATGGGTGGTGTTAGTTTTCAGTCTCATGTTGGGAAGGAAAATATACATTTGAAAAATAAAATAAAATCAGCAAAACCTCAACAAATAGGAGAGATGCTCTGGTAAGAAGTAGTATCGGTTGTTCTACATAGGATTTCTCAAATAACAAGGATGCCATTTCAGCATAGTCATACCTTCACTACATACAATTATTGTGGCAATTTCTGTGCTGAGGACTGCTGACTGAGACAGCACAGGTTCAAAACTTTATTTATTTATTCAATTTCTATAGCTGCCCAACTCAACCAAGTGATTCTGGGTGGCTTACAATTCTAAGGATTTTTTCTCAAAAAAGAGAAAAGTCCTGAAAATAATTACTGTATTTTCTTTAGATCGCACTTCCTCATCTTAAATACACGACAAAAATTAATCCATATACAGTAGTCTCTGCAATCATGAATGAAGATTTCACTTTGGAAAAAGGGCTCCTCTGATCCCTATGTTGAAATTTCTACTGCCAATTGAGGGGTATGGTATAAATGTTCATAGCCTTTACCTGCCCAGAAATTATTTTTGTTAGCAAGGTTAATAAAGTATAATGATTTTTCATATAATTTGCACAGATTAATATTTCTAACAGATCCAGGAAATACATAGAGTTCCTATGAAATTTAGGACTAGAATATTCTGATATAAACAGATGTAGAATTCTAAGACATGATTTTTAGAAGTACAATAACGGATCCTCTCATGTTCCTAATTATATACTGCTGACATTTGCTGTCCACGGTAATCAACAAATCGTTCTGCATGTAATGACCCATGCTGCTGAAAACATACCTGCCAAACCAATTGTTCCTTCATGATGTCTGTGGATGATATACAGATGCTGAGCACAATGGTATGTGATGCAGAGGTTAGAACGCTGGCAATTATTGCATCCTGCATGTTGAAGGGCAGCATGGTATAGACGACAAAAATGATGAATAGGAAAAATGATACCTGTGCAGAGAAGACAAAAGCAACTCATATAAAAAAATAACTCAAAAAACCTTCAAAACTGCATTAGATAAAAGTGGAATAAGCTAGAGTCCAAAGTGTGATACACACTGCCTTGATACGCACCAAACATATTTGTTCTGGCATGGCATGATATGCAAATCTGACAAATTTCATTTACCCAGAATTATGGTTTAAGCATGGAGTATGAACTGAGTTAATCTGTCACATCATTTAACCTATTGTTCAAAGTTAACATAGTTAACAATCCAGTCTAGTTTGGTTTCCTGGTGAGACTTGTTTTTTTTTATTTTTAAGTACAGTACAGAGATTAACTATGGAGAAGTTCATAAATCATTTTTAATAAGGGATATACAACCCAATTTCCATGTGTTTTCTGATTTCTTTATTTTTCCTATAGTCTTTATAGCCCACTGGTGTGCTTTACAAAGTGCGAGAGTCAATTCAGCAACTGAAGTTTAGGTTAAGATGGTTTAGGTTAACAACAGTTGGGGTGATGGGTAATAACCTTGTCAGATGGAACCTAGGTTCTGGAATTAGGATTGCGGGGTACAGGAGAGAAAGACTGAGAGAGACATATGAGGGCAGACCATATCATTTTGGGGGGTAGACTATATCATCTAGTTAGTGAGAGACAGGGGATATAAGGTGGGGACCTGGGAGTAGACTGCTCACAGAAAAACAATTTCATTGTCTTCAAAAAATTCCACTCCCCCCCCCCCAAGAATTCAGTACCAATTCCAAGTCACCAGATTCTCAGAAGTCCTGGCTTCTGGATAGTGCTCCCAAATGTCAGGTTGGTCTGAGGTTGGTCTGTAACAAAGCAATCCTTATCCACAATCATCCTGAATGTGATGGCTGATCTGGTGCACTGCCAAAACCTGAATGGGCCCAAAATGAGGGTATTTTTCTCTTGGAGATATAACCACCTGAATTTCAAGTGTGGCAATAGCCACATGTTCAGAAGGGAGAATGGCAGTTGTCATCCATGAAGGCCTAATAACTTCCAAGGGGTCTGTGCTACAGTTGGTTGTAAGACCATGTGGTTGAAGCTGAACTATAAGGATGAGTAGGATTTGTTATGGCTATACCAACCTCCTTGTCGCACAGTGACATTTCTGCCTGATTCCATTGTTTGGTTTTTATTATTTATAAGGTCTTGCTATATTATTGGAGATGTTTTACTGTTGTTTTTATTGTAAGTTTCCCATAGTTGACTGAATTGGGCAGTTCTACACAGTTGATTAAATTAATAAATGTCTTCCTTGGTATGACCAGCTCAGTATAATCAATCAATAAGGAGATTGTTGTCTGTTACAAATTGTGCAGTGATCAGCAAAAAAATTGTTCTTTTTTTAAAAAACAGATTTAAGCTAAATCCCCATATCATATGAAGCAAAACATTTATGTGTTGGTTGCACCTTTGGAAAATTAATACCATTCTCTGAATGATATACAAATAAATATTTAAGCAGTGTTTTTCTGGCCAAGCCATAAATTCAAATAAACACTAAGCCACAAGCAGCTGGGCTCACCCAGTGTGTTAAGACACAAGCAAAGCATATTATTGCCTAGTGTGATAAATCAAGCCACAGTATCATATTATAGTACTGGTACAAAAAAAATCTGATATTTAAAGACTGGATAAACTGTGTAATGTAATATATTACCTTAATCAGACAGATCTGAGCAGTGCTCCGAACTTCTTTAGTCTGGAAAGATTTCAGTACATTGTCTTTTTTCTTCCCTATCTGCAACAAATTCTACACCATTTTTCTTTAGCTCAGTGCTTTTTCCTCTCTCTGATGTTCTTAAAAACGAACATACGAAACTTCCTATGGTGGAAAGGCATGCTCTTGTGCTTCAGGGCAGGACAAAACTATAACTTGGTTCCTCCTCTATTGTCCAATATACAGAGTCACTTGTGACAATCTTATTATCCTGCTCTTCCCCTAAGTATCAAACTGCACAAGCCATTTCTATTCTTCTTGACTAATTTCAGATGAGACCCCTGCCTTCATATACAGCTTTATAACATTCTGTGCAGCAGCTTATTGAACATGAGAGACTCACAGTCTAGTCCAAGTAGACCATTATCTGCATCCCTGTAGCTAATCCTCTGCCAGTTGCAGGTTGTTGATAGTCTCAGGCTTTTCAGACTGACATACTCAGTTAAAGCCTTGTTGTTGTTGTTAGTTGCGAAGTCGTGTCTGACCCATCGCGACCCCATGGACAATGTTCCTCCAGGCCTTCCTGTCCTCTACCATCTTCTGGAGTCCATTTAAGCTCACGCCTACTGCTTCAGTGACTCCATCCAGCCACCTCATTCTCTGTCTTCTCCAGTGAGTCCTTCCTTCTCATTAGGTGGCCAAAGTACTTGAGTTTCAATTTCAGGATCTGGCCTTCTAAAGAGCAGTCAGGGCTGATCTCCTCTAGGACTGACTGGTTTGATCGCCTTACAGTCCAGGGGACTCGCAGGAGTCTTCTCCAGCACCATAGTTCAAAGGCCTCAATTCTTTGGCGCTCAACCTTTCTTATGATCCAACTTTCACAGCCATACATTGCAACTGGGAAAACCATGGCATCAACTATACGTACTTTTGTTGGCAGGGTGATGTCTCTGCTTTTTAGTATGCTATCTAGATTTGCCATAGCTTTCCTTCCCAGGAGCAAGAGTCTTTTAATTTCTTGGCTGCAGTCCCCATCTGTGGTGATCTTGGAGTCCAGGAAGATAAAATCTGTCACTACTTCCGTTTCTTCCCCATCTATTTGCCAGGAATTGAGAGGGCCGGATGCCATGATCTTGGTTTTCTTAATGTTGAGCTTCAAGCCAACTTTTGCACTCTCCTTCTTTACCCGCATCAAGAGGCTCTTTAGTTCCTCTTCACTTTCTGCCATTAGAGTGGTATCATCTGCATATATTAGGTTGTTGATATTTCTCCCGGCAATCTTAATTCCAACTTTTGATTCATTTAGCCCTGCCTTTCTCATGATGTGCTCTGCATATAAGTTAAATAGGCAGGGCGACAGAATACAGCCTTGCTGGACTCCTTTCCACTGATTTTGAACCAATCAGTGGTTCCGTGTCCAGTTCTCACTGTTGCTTCTTGACCCACATATAGGTTTCTCAAGAGACAAATTAAAGCCTAGAATGGCATAATATGCATGCATGATAATCTCACTAGTGTATAGAGCCTGTGCCCAGGCTTTAACATAGTGGAATATGAAGTAACTATTCTAAAACCCAAACCTTTAACTTCTAATTGTTGATTTCAAATTAGAAAATTCTTAGTATTTAGTACAGTAGTTATCTCTTTCTTTAAATTTAAGTCTAATTTTATTTTTTTATGGCTCAGGATTTTAAGTTTTTGGATGCTTTTTAGCTGTTTTGCACTCTTCTTGTTTTGTATAGTTTTACATTGTTCACCTTTGTTGCTTATGCTGCTAGTACATTTTGTACGGGTCTAGTCTTAGTCAAATCTTATTTTATAGGTATCCAGGTACTGGACCACTGCAATAAAGATTTGCTTTGATTCGACCCTAACCACTATCCTGCACTAGCTTTTCTGGTAAGTAAAGTTACCCTCAGAACAACAAAATTACTTCCACAAGCAGTCCAAATGTAGAGGGCATTTAGGAATAACTTTATACATTTTTTATTTCTCTTCTTTTTCATCCTGCAAGGCCCTGGGGTTGTGCCTAAATATATTTGGATTGAGGACAAGTAAATGCAGTTCTTCATATAACTTTTGATTCCTGCAGTACACTTAAGAATTAGAACAGTTTGATTTATTTTTTAATTTATATTCAAGTAATTCACATTCCCTGAATAATAAACTAAAATTCCAGTGTTACTTTTCCAAATTTTGCAATGCAATTCTTCCATTTAAAAGAGCATAGCTATGCATGTATATAAGGGAAACCGTATTCAGGGATGTGTATATTAGTTTAAAGACATTTTATGAACACATTAAATGCCTGGAGAGATATTAAATTTGGAGTATATTAAAATACATGATATAAATGAAAATAAATAAAAGCTTTTGTATTTAAAAATATGAATCCTGAAGTTTACATGTAGGGTAATTATAAATCAAACAATTTCTACAATTCCTAAGTATATTACAGTAATCTAATTTATGTAAAGGATCACCTACGATTTCTGTATATTTTACCTATTTGGTTTTGGTTATAGACCAAAACCTTGCAGCAGAATTAATCAAAAAGGTAGTAGTAAAGAAACATTTCTAATATAAAATACACCCAAATATTTACATTTTCAAATAGCCAAATTCATCTTTTCATAGAGTAATTTTAGTCACCATTTAATTTAATTCAATGCAATTTAATACGAAATTAATAATTTTTATACAAAAATGTTGACCTCAATTTAATACAATGCCTTCTAAATACTTCTGCAGTAACTGATTCTTCTCTTAAAAGCAAGGTGAAAAATTTCATACAAACACAGGATATTAAAACAATACAGGAAAAAGAATAGAGAAAAGAAGCATATGTATTCCTGGATAGTAGAATTACAGTGATACAGAATAGATATAGAATTTTGGTTTTTTGTATGATATGAATCCTTTGTTTACCACTTTGCCTTATCACCATTAGTGGAATACCAAATAAACCCTTTGGGTTTTTAATCACATTTGGATCCTTTATGAGGCAGAGAAGCATTTTTAGAACTATAAAATTTGGTGAACAAAAATGGTCCAGGACCTTCTTCCTCATTATCTCCCTGCTCTATCTCCCTACATAAAAAAGTTGCTTTTTCTTTTTCAGGGAATATTTCGACTCTTAAGATCTTTAGTGGGAGATATTATGAAATAGACAATCATTTTAAATGTCCAATCTATCTAGCAAGCTCTATATCACACCCAAATCATTTAATAAGTAAAGTAGCGCATCACTGAATTTGATGATGAAGGATATCGTAAAAGAAGATGGAAAATGTCACTGCAACACATAAAGAA